AGATATTTATGGGCATATACCAATGAAAAAAGAAACACTTCTGAGCCATTAGTAAACTAATGTAATTGTTTCACTTTAGATTGATCATTTAAAAAATTGCACTAAGGAAAAATTTTACTCTCTAAGCCATTCGACTGAATCTCATATCCAACATACTCCCTTCAGAAGAGCTGCAGGTTGCAGCAGAGCAGCTGCCTTAGCTGATAGGACAACTCCCTGCAAGGCTAATGCTGATGGTGATACCTCTGAATGGGTCCTCCTGGTTACTCCATAACCAATTCCTCTTACACGTGGCCCAGCACTGAAAGATCTTATGACAATTTCTGGTCTCAACAACAATAGCAAAAAAACTAAAAAAAAACAGAACTATGTCATTTTAGTGGTAAGGACTTGACTTACCGGGGCTAGTGTAGGCACTGCCTAGCTGGGGTGATGTCCAGCATCCCACCCTCCTCTGATAGCACATAAGACAGCCTCATTCACTCGGTTAGCTTACTCCTCTAGCAAAACTCAGTTCAATATGACAGAAGGGAAAAAAGCAGGGAGAGGAATCCACAGACCAAAGTTCTGGTTCTATTTCTTCCAGGTACCAGGCAGGTGACTTTGAGCATGTTACTACTACTGTTTCCCATATGCTTAATATTTACTTCCAGAATATATTTACTGAGAATATATTTTCTTTCCAGCCTTCTCAGTTTCACCCATGCCTACACTTCACCTTTTTTTAAAAAAACAATCAATCAGAAGCACAAACTATTTTACACAAACTCTACACACCTACCTAATCAATATTTTGCATGGCCTTAAAATCTAGCTGGTTTTTAAATGAAATAAGAAAGGAAATTGCTAAGGCTTACAAAGGACACTGAAAGAATGCACTATAAACACCAACCCACCAAAGAAGTTTCAGGAGAGTCACGGACCTTAATGCACTAATGTATATTGACTCTTTTTTTTTTACGATATGAAGGATACATTTAGTTGGGAAAGGGGGGATAAAAGTGTTAGCATTTCACTTAGCTTTTATATCATTTTGTCAACCCTGTAACTTAATACTCTTTAAAAAGAAATTTGGGTTCATTCACTAAGGTTTACTAGAATAGGTTTCTAAATGTGGCCAATAAGAAATTGGTGTGATAGAAATGCAATGCACATAACATAAATGCTGCTTGAGTTTGTAGTGAGTTCGGGACATATAAATAGGACCCAAACCAGAGATGTGAAGAAAATAAAAGAATGAAAAGAAGTGAAAAGACAAACAAACAAACAAACAAACCCCCCAAAATAAAACTCAATAGTCCTCTCCAAATCACATTCTTTAAATTATACCGAAATCATGAACATAGGAAGTGTCAGAGCATGTGCGAGAACCGAAGGGGGGGGGGGGGGAAGGAACAATATAAATAAAAGAAAGAAAACCTTCATCTTTCACAATTTCACTTAGAAGATTCTGGTTCTGGCAGATTTGGGCTGTGTATGTTTGTGCAGAGGGGGGCAGGGATGCACCAGTAAACAACTTTGCTTGCTCATGTTTCTACAGACCAAGGAGAATCTGAATGCACCGCTATAAAAATGGGTGTTGGGATTCACTGATACGGAAATTGTAAAGCTTAGCCAGTTTAAAAAAAAAAAAAACCCACCAACATTAAATAAATAAATGAAAAGGGTGATACGTCTAAGCAGAATGCACTATAAACACCAACCGACCAAAGAAGTTTCAGGAGAGTCACGGACCTTAATCCACTAATGTATATTGACTCTTTTTTTTTTTTTTTTTTTTTTTTTTTTTAC